GGACTGGGTTAGTCCCGGTTTTAGTCTTGGTGTTAGTTCTGGTTTACAGGCGCACAGGAGGAAGCGCGGTTTACGCCGCGTATGCGAGAAAACACGGTCCACACGCGGCTCACGGGAGGACAGCGATGTCCGCGCAGTGTCTACGGAAGGAAACGTGGTCCGCGCGTTCTCAGGTTAATGACGATGATGAAGGTGTGTGTTTGTGTTTGTGTGTATTTGTGTTTGTGTTGTGTGTATTTGTGTGTGTTTGTGTGCGTGTCCCCTCATGTGGCAGGTCACTATAGGACAGTAGTGCAGACATCATGAGCCTATGCAGGTTGTTTTCAGGCGATATTATATTTGTTATTTTCTTTTATATTTCACGTCGGGAGAATAATTTCCAAGACACGAATGTGTTTTTACCTGTGCGCTGCTGACTCTGTTCTACTGGCTCTTCGACCTCGTCCATTGTGCGACTGACGCCGCCAACGTTAACGTGACGTTTACATCGCTGTTACTGCGCGCGTTTTGTGTGAGTTTCCGGCAATGAGTGGAATTGCCGAAATAAAAAAAATGTATAAATGTGTTTTGTGTGTGTGTGTTGTTGTCCCAACAACACATAAAAACAGGTTTTATAATAAAGAAACTCACATACAGAAACACTAAAGTTAGAGATTAAAAATGAGATTAACGCGAAAACATAACGCGCTAAATATGACTGTAATTAATTAATCGCAATTAACGCGATAATTTGACACCCCTAATTATTATGTGCTAGGTTAATGTTATAATATGCCTCAAAAGCTATAAAGTAACCCTGAAATAGTGCTTTTAAACTGCTATAGTAAATGCTGTTGAGTGTGGACATATAGATTAGGTAAATGAAAGGATTGAAAGAATCATTTTGTGTGACATGTTTGTTTAGAGGGTTCTGTGCCTGTTTGCCGATGCATTATTGGGAGCAGTGCATGTGAAAGCCCAGAGATGTGTAGATTTGACTGTTTGCATGTAATGTAATGTGTGAGTGAATGGAGAGGCCTAGGGTGTGTTAGCACTGTCATGCCACATAATGCACCAATTATGTAACCTTTTAAATGATGATTTTAAAGACATATGTGATTGTCATCTAGCTTGTATTGTTATGTTTTTAATCAGCATTTACTGCCCATATTAAATAAGTCCAGGTTCAGAAGAATCATATACATGTCATACCATTTATTATTATTATTATTATTATTATTATTATTATTATTATTATTATTATTATTATTATTAATATTAATAATAATATAATAATAATAATAATAATAATAATATAATAATAATATAATATTATAATAATAATAATAATTGTTGTTGTTGTTGTTGTTTTTGTTTAATCTTGCATCCCTCTATAGCACATAGACGTTCGACTGAATACATTTCCTCCTTTGACCTGATGGGGGCGACATTGTAGCGCTTTAGTCCTTTAGGGATGACACAACAGAAGGACATCTGCAGTGCTCTGTCATCTCTTATGATCCCTCCTCACAAAACAAACGCTTCTGCTTGGATGCAAAACTGAATCTGCCAGTAAAAACGTTCATTAAAAGAAGTCACAGTCACATTATTTAGATACTTTATCGTTGACAGTAACTGACTGATGCATCATTTTGATGTATCTCATTTGAATAGGCTACAAGATTAATCACAGTTGAAATGGCAATTTTAATGGTCACAATCAGCAAACCACAAAAGCTACAAATATTTAGATAGTAATTTCCTCTACAAACAAAATGTCTTGTCTCTAAGGGTCTTATTATAGAAATTTAAAAAGTCAATCCTGTAGTTTCAACCTCAGATGTGATTTTTGTGGACAAACATAACCAAATCTGCTATTGATTCTTACCTTGTAAAAACTGTCACTGGGGCATGTGCACAAAGCCACTGATTGTGTTGAAAGTGATTCATTGACATTTTTTGCTGACCCTTTGAATCAGGGTTGCACCATACTCCATAATCTGTGTGCAAACTAATACTGACCCGACGTCAGGTCACTGCAAAATTATCTTAACTAAACTAATTAAGTGACAAAGATGCTCTGCTGAATGACTAGACTGCTGAATGGTACAGAGTTTGTAGGTTTGTGTTCGTTATCAGTAATTTACAGCACTAGCTCAGGCCTGGATGAACAGAGATCTACTGGCAAAAATACAAGCATGACTCAGCACAGAGAGTACAATAGTTGGATTTCTAAAATAAACTAGGTCAATTTGTTAGTGACAGTGTTGCATTTAGATATTAATACATGATCTCTATGTCGTAGGCTATCTGCATGGTGTAGTGTTAAAATGGCATAACACTGCTCCTTGTTGTTTAATGGGGAGAACTGCTATTGATTTGCCCTTAAAGTTTTAGAAAATGTTGTATGCTTTGCATACAATCACTTAATTATCATTTTGACTTGTGACCCCTTCTTGTCTGATCTCAGAAGTCAGGGTTGGGTGGGCACTAGGATAGGATAGGAGAGCACTGGGAAATCTAGAGATTGGAGCAGGAGTGGCTCTAGTGCATACTGTTGTGTCCTTGGGTACAACGCTTTACCCACCTTGCTTAAATGTGATGTGTGAGTGATTGGTGATTGTCGAAGGATGCCCTTGCTTCCATGATCTTACACTTTTGATTGCCTACAAATTTACAAACTTGTGATCCAGTTTCTTTTTATATTTGTATGTCTGTGGGATGGAGATTTTTGATGCTTTGATTATTAGAACCAGAGCTAGAGGTTTGAGGTCTGTGCACTCATTGCAAGAGTGGACCAATGCCTCTGTGGAGGTCTGTATTCAAAGTGCTTCTGTGTGTAAAGGGAGCTTGTGTGGGAAGGAATGCTGTTTATTTTTCTAGTGTACTGGGGACCTTTCTGTTGCCGTCAAAATATGAAGAAAGAGGAAGAACAGCCCAGAAAGCAAATATTAGTCACTAAAGTGAATTTACGACTGACACATTCAGATTCTATGATGATTCAAGTTGTGTAGAGCGACTATCAGTGACTGTAAGTAACTTGGTTAAGCATTTGCCCACTGACCATTAGGTTGATGTTTTGATCCCAGGTCTTACCAATTCACATTGTTGTAATGTTATACACTCAACTTTTTATAGGCTTTGCCTTTAATGCCACTGGTACTAGCGTACACTGGTTTTGGTTTGAATGTATAAAAAGAATGGTTCCTTGACATAAAGTGCTTTGAGTGGAGGTTGCAAAGTGTTATAATATAGCTATTATGTGAAATTTGAGCAGTGTTAGAACTGTGCTTAAATGGATTTAATAGAAGAAAACAACAGGAAATGTTTATGTTCTGAGGAAGTCAAAATATGAAGACAACTTAATTGTGGTTAAGTGTGTTGGGTGTGTTTTCATCGAGAGTCAAGTCAAGACAACTCCCCTTATCTAACACATAACAATAACATTATAGTAATTAGCCCGGTACGTGGGTTGGAGATTGCACACCAGTGGAAATTTCACATTTAGAACGAGTATGCCATTTTTAGATTAAGTTTTTCAGAATTACATAATGAATTGAATCCTTATTAAACCACTTCTACTGACACAGTGGAAGTATACGTGCTGAAGTTGACCCAGTGCTAGAAGTGACTAATCAGGCCAAAACAAACAGGAGGAAACTTGTGGAGCCCGTTTTCTGAGGTGCATTTGTTAACCTCCACTGCTCCACACGGCCCTCAAAAAGCCGCACTGTGATTGGTTGGGTGGAGGCGACAGTTAATTGAAAGGACAAGCACCATGTTGTTTTGGGTTTGAAAGAGCGTGTGTGTGCACTTGGCGTTTGTTGTCCCAGGGGGATGGCACGCCTCATAACTGCCTCCTCCCTGTGCCACGTTAACCCTTCTGCTGCCACTGCAAATGAAGAGCTGTTATATGAGGGGAGAAAAGTGAATGAGAGGTTTACCTGATAACACACACTTACGGGATCTACAGCAAAAAAAGCAATACATTTTTTCCCCAAAATAAATAATCTTACTGATTTCTATTTGTGAATAAAAATATGTTTGATTTAAAGGATCTATATTATGAACAACATGTATCTGACCCAAACTGCACTGACAAGACCATAGACCCACAATTCAAAAACAGCTATTAATACAGATGTTTACTAGTAAACTACACATTTACATTTAAAATTGCAGAAAACCAGTGACTCATACCAATATTTCCAGGTAACTCACTCCATGCCTTCTACTTTCTTCTGTTGTTCATATAAATCCTCAATAATCCCACAATAATCAGACGACTAATAAAACACATGAAATATTTTCAACTTAGACACAATCGACAAAAAAAAAAAAACCCAAAAACCTACAGCTCACAGTTGTTTACTCTGATGTTGTCCCCAGAAGACCCTGATAGAGCTTGTTATCTGCACTGAGCCCTCTTCTCCTGAGTAGCGTCAGAGGAGCTGTCGTCATGACGATACAGGCATACACAGCACTCACCTGGAGGCAGCTTTCTCCTGAGACAGGCTTCGACACCGACACCAACACCAACCCCTCAATGTTCACTGTCATTGACAAAAAACACTGTATGAACTAAATAAATAAATCAGAATAGCTAGTCCCATATATTACTCAAGATTCTCGATTTTATTAACATTTGCATAAGACAATTGCAAATATGTAAGAAAACTGCCTATAAAGCAGCACCCAAATAAAATAAATAGAATATCGTATTACTTTCCTGAATGTTCCTTTTATAGTTTTTTACTTTGTTGATTATGTGTTCCATCGCAAACATTTGCCAATCAAGTCCAGCAGCTTTCTCCCGCTCATTCAGCACTTGTTTGAGATTGGCCTAGTTTTTTTCTTTTTTTAATTGTGGTTGTTTGTGTTTGTCTTAGTTTTCCTTCTGTCAAAAGGGGTGTGTCCGCCCTCGGTAATCCAATACCATTAACACGCTGAGGTTACTGTAACTGGCTAAACAGCCTCGACCAGTGTCTGCGAACTGCAGACTCACACCCACATGGCATGCGGAGAAGATTGTGTCATGCTTTAGACATATAAGAGCTGAAGGGATGGAAATAGTTTTAAGGAAAGAGTCTAAGAAGACACAAGAGTGAATAGTCTTCAGGGATGGTAGAACGAGGTAGAGAAAGTACCCCGGAGTGACAAAAAGAAGGAAAAGAAGAACACGGGGAGGGTGAAGGCTTGGAGGAACCACCCAGAAGTTCCCAAACCACCCAATCAAGCCCCAGCTCTGCAACAGGATCCTCCCCGAGCACCACCTGAGAGCTCCCAGGCACAGCTGTGCCTCAGAGCTACCACAGCGGGACAAAAGACAGGTGGGAGACAGCAGAGCACAAGATACCCTGCTCCAAGCCAAGACTTCTGGAGAGAACTATCCCCAAGGACTGAAGAATAAACTGACAAATTGCTATTTTTAAGCATGAATTAGACATACATAGAAGATACGCCTGTGGAGAATTGTATGTCCAGCAGCAATGCAATGAGCTCACCTTCTTTATAACTGGATACAAGGACATTGAATGGGAAGGCGTTTCTCTCATACAAGATGCTCTGTTGAACTGGAATAGCAACTTCTTAATCTTGGAGTGCAGTTTTCTTTGTTTTTTGTTTTTTGTTTTTACTTTAATGAAGCATAATGTAGAAAGATGGCTATGAGCAGATTCATAGTTTGAGTTATAGGAGTGGGTGAAGCTCCTGTTGATCTGTCCAGCTGGAGGCATGTCTCTGGAAGATGGACGTAGCAGTGGGAGCTTTGAGGCTGAGAGCGCTGCCTCAGAACAGAATCCGGACCAGAACCAAACCCAGACTCAGGGATCAGGACTTAACCAGGACTGTCCCAAATTTCCAAAAGAGGATGAGATCGTCCTTCAACGCATCGCCTCCATGTCCTCCCTTGAGTCTGACCCCAGCGATTTCACTGGGAGGTTTACAAAGTTCCAGCGTAACAAGAAGAGGCTGGGAATCATTAGAGGTACAGCAGTACTGTGCACCTTGCATTTTGGGATTCCTATACAGCATACAGCACAATAAAATTACATTTGAGCTATACTAAGATTTTCTCGGTGACAGTCAAATAAAAAAAGAGTATGTGCATTATGCTAGTAGAACTCGTAAAATAGGAAATGAAGGCAGATAGCTTAAGGCAGTGCTAATTAGAAAATAAACACTGAGTATTAGCTTAGTTAGAGCAAATATATAGAATATCTCACTCTAAAGAACTGGCTATTAATATAAAATGTATTTGATTCACAGCATTAATTATACATTACTAACAATGTATTCATTCATTCTTTCTTTGTGGTTGTGAGGTACTGATTCCTAGATGATCAAGAACCACACTTTCCTTAATAGAGACTGAAGTTGTGCTATCACAACATTTTAGACATTTTAAGGCACTGAATACCCCAACCAAAAAAGTGTAATACAATATTTTATAGTTTTGCAGTGTGCATGAACCCTCGGGATCAATAAAGTATCCATCTATCTATCATAAACACAACACAAACAATGTAGTGAACTTTTGTACAGTCATCACCTAGTTTCCTGGTGGCTCTACCCCTCCTGGGATTTGGAAGGGGTCTTGGATTTCCTGATACCTGTTTGGGTCGGGGCATGTTCACAGTGGAGGAGTCCGGCTCAATGACAAGTTTCTTTGTTGTGGCTTTTCAGACGCTGTGAAAAGTGAGACTCACTGTGTCTTTGAAAAAAACTGCACTAATCCTCCACCATGCTATGAGAAAGAGACATGCCTTTGTAGATCTCAGGTCGTAAGCCCCAAAACCACTTGATCTTAGCCCACATTCATGATCTGGGAGTTTCATGTCCACACTTTCGGGGCAGGGGGAGGTGCAAGAAACCCCATGTTTTGAGCTCATTTACATTACAAATACATTATTGTTGTGTGGATGCACTCTTGACAAATAGTTACAGGCTCAGGTTGTTTTGCTAAATACATATCTCTGAACTTTTGACTCATTGTTTATTTGTAACCTCAAGTGACAAACTGTTTGCTCACAGTAGTATTACACTATTGGCCTAGAATATTGTAGATGTTTACTCAAGATCATGCAATGAAGTAAGATGTTATTATGGAGCCAGAATGGAGTTAAATAAAATGTCAATGCTGTATTAACTTAAAGAATTTGGGGTTTAGTTCTGTAAAAGGTGCCACTGAATTAGTGCTGTAAGTGACTGTAATAAGGGCATAAAAAATAATAATTTAGCACTATTTCAACCATCTACGATTGTTGTGGAGTACAAAGTGTAACACATCCTAAAAAGACACACAGACAACACAGTAATAAGTATTTGTGAGCTACCAAAATATAATAATCAAAAATACTTATGATTCTGATAAAAAAGACTGAAAATAACCTCTATCAATATGTCTGCTGCTATAAGTGTTGTGCTGTTAGAAGTGTTATGCCATATTATGATTCATAATTAATAAATAATAACTTTGAACTACAGAACCAGCCTGCCCAGCTCTGAGTCTATTTTATGACTGACTTTGGACCAGTGCTTTGTTTGAGGTCTTACCCTCTGAGTCTAGTTTAAGTGTTTAGTGGACTTAAAATACAAAGCCACATTGAAGACTATAGCTTTACAGACGGGGCAGTGGGCATGCAGTCATTGTGTGGTAAAAGGGGAAACCTGAAGTGACTCTTACAAGCCCATCTGCTCAAACATGTCTACAATAGGTTTACATCACCGACCACACTATAAATTAAGGTACAGCTAAATACCATAAACTCCTGTGTACGCTGCTGACTTGCACAAAATCGGACTTTGAAGCAGTAGGTAGAGGCATTCCTGGCATGAGACAGTGCAGAGCCGTTTGTGTGTGTTTGGTGAAAGCAGCTGTGTGGAGTGGACAGACAGACCAGTGTGAAGAGTAAAGCTCATGTGTGCGGTCTCTTGATTGCGCTGAGCTATGACACCCACACAATCTGTTTTCTACTGTGCTGTGGTTAAATGTCTTGTACTGTAACATCTACACAGCTACCACTGATATTGGTTGCTATCTTAACTGTAACAAACATGATTGTGGAGTATATGTTATACAAATGTGATGTAATAACTTTCTGGTAAAATCAACTTGAGCCAAAACTCGAATACACATAGTCTTATTTTTAAACTTGGCATGTTTTATACTTACAAGAGGATAACCAACAAAACAACAAAAGGTTGGTCCTTTATCATACAAAAACACCGTAAATTGATAACTTATAGCAGATTTGAAACTAACCTGGATCATAAAATGTTTATATTTTGTTATTTAAGACGTACATAAGACATACAAAAGCTGTTAAATGCATGCATATATGAAAACAACTTATTTTATGAATAAAACATTCTTAAGAATTTTATGGATCACAAACCTCTAATAGCCTGATTTGTTGCCATAATACATTTTGGGATGACAGTGTGTTGGCTGTTTATCTCTGTTTCACTTCTCCATCTGAAAAAGCTGTTCTAAAACTGCATATGTACCCAAAAAGTCTGTGCATACATATTACAGTTATGCCAAAGGGGTTGCAAGAGTTGAGGTAGAGACCTACTTCCTCCTTTCACTTTCAAATAGGGTACTACTGCTTAATGTCAGTGGTGGTCCTATAATACAAAAAGGAAAATAATAGTTTAAATATTAGACAATAATTTTAAATTGTACTACAAATAGTGTTAAAAATATTGTCACAAGCATTGCCTGTGCTATTGCCTCCACTGTAAGCAGAAGTGTGTGTGAGTGTGTACATGTGTCTGTGCACACATGTCCATGCTGCTGGTACAGGAGGCACATTCCTGCAGCTGGCATGCCCAGGCCCCTGCGCAGTATGTCAGGAATCCCCACAGCACCTCTCCTCCCCATACATGTGTTTAATGCTCACGTTTTATTGGGAGATTAATGTGTGTCATTCTTTGGCAAATATCACTTACACAGCACATGTTACAGTGTGATTTTCTGTGGACAAGCCCAAACAGCTGCTCCCCTGTGGTCATGTAGCTCAAAGTAATGCTTCATGTCAATATACTTTAACTTTTTAACAAATGACTAGTTCAACAAACTTTGCCAAACATGTGAAAATATTCTACCATATAATATAGATTATGTTATTGTAAGGTTGTGCCAGGCTTGGATTAATTGGCATCATCATTAGATAGAAAGATGGAGCTGTAGGCTACCATTTTATGAGGAGAAAATATTAGATTTATTTTTTGTTTGTTTTTTGTAATATCTTGAATAGTTGGCCTGCTTAATTATGAAAATAAATCATAATCGTGCTTATTTAGGTTGTAATGTGCTGTCAAAAGTTAACCTGCAGAGGAAGGAAGTCTTACTATCATTTGTATGTTTTGCAATCAGTGTTTGAAAAGCCACTCACTGCAAATTAGATGAGGCTCAGGGTTTATGGGGCAGATCAGTGGCCATGGCCATATAATTCAGAACAAAATTGAATGAATATTTTTTTTATGTGGATTGACTTCAGCAGAAATTACACTTAGAAGTTTGAATAATTGGAAAGCTAGAACAAATATGCCATAAATAAAATCATACTAGCAAATAAAAATGCATTATTGCCAGTCCCAATTTGTCTCCTATACGTCCTCTGCACATTTTCCTTTTTATAACCTAATGCCAAATAGGGTCACAAACAGCTAATCTCGACATTTCACATAGAGCTGTGTAAAAGCAGACACAGACATGATGAATGGCTGTCTTAAAAAAAAGTTTGAGTAGGCTTATATGGTCCGGAAGTGTTCTCCAAATGGACTTGATAAATGAGCTTGATAAATGCATGCTTAAGTGGATGCGGCAGAATTTAGAGACAGGAATAGGCTGGCAGTACTTCCTTGTTTTATGTCTGCTCCCTGGAGATGGGGCAGTAATTGTCTGTTAATTTAAACCAGGCCACAGTGTGCTGGGTGACTCTCTTCCAAGCACTGGTATTTTGTATAATACTTTTATCTTATGCAATGTCCCCTCCCTGCTCCTGTTTCCCTCTGCTGTCATTGTTGGTGCGCACACCCACTTCCGCCCTCTGTCCTGGGAATTACATATTGACCCTAATTATGCTCCCGTTGCACTTACTTAACCAGAGCCAGTGTGGCCATAAGTCAGTGTTTAGGCTAAACTTAGACTCAGTGTCATTTCTTAGCCACAAATATGTTATTGTTTGCAAACTGGTATGTTTTTTCTTTATTCTGAGCTGAAAATGTAAACATGCTGTGGATAACTTTTCTGGTAGAGGGTCGGCCACCCGCTTGTTTCCATGGAGATGTTATTGTTTATTGAACATACTATTGCAGTGTTCAATAGTATGGCATTAAACATATCTTCGACAGATTTTTAAAATGTCCCTCCATGGAAGTTCTATAATAAAAACAAAAGCTGTAACTGTTTTTATTAGATCCCAATAGTCCCAAAGTATTAGATCTTTGGTTTCAGAAAAAGGTTACATTTGATATAAATAATATCTTAATGGTCAGTGTTATTCAAACAGTAGCCTATGACCTGTGGACCATGTTCCAGACAGTGCACTCTTAAGTCAGGTCATGATTATTTTTCCACTCCACAATATCCCAGGAATAGACTCGGAAAATCCAGAAAGAGCTGCCGCTGCTCATATAAAATTATGAAAATATACTAAAAGCATAGTTTCTAAAAGCACAATATGCCCAGTATAAAACGCTTTTCCCATGGCTCAGGATACACAGGAAGTACAGTGTCAGCAAACATTATCCAGGAGATTGTGCGTGTCTTTCAATTCAGTCTGGAGTGGTGCATTTGTGGTCATTCATAAACTCCATTGAAGGCCTTTTTGGTGCATTTTTTGCTTGGGTAGATGCAATTAGCCAGAGACCATCACTGGCTATTTGCCGCTCTGACCTGCTTGTTATTGCTGCCCTGAGCCCTCATTGGTTAAGTAGAATTACAGCATGCTCACTCAGCATTTACCTGAAACAAAACAA